CTCCTGTTGAGGTGGAGCATGTTGATATTAAATTGCGTACCTCAAATGAAGTCGAAGAAGACGTAGAATATGTTTTCGAAGATGAGGAGACTGATAATGACTACCTGTTATCAAGCGACAAGTCGAGGAGAGTCATCAAGCCACCTCAGAGACTTGGGTATGCAGATCTTATATCTTATGCCTTAATCTCTGCAAGTGAGGTTCTAGGCAAAGAACCTAGAGACTATAAGGAAGTTATGAGGAGTCGAAACAAGACTGAATGGATGAAGGCCATGGACGATGAGATGAAATCTCTTCATGATAACTTGGGAACTGATCAAGAAACCAGTTGGAGCCAGGCTAGTCAGCGGTAAATGGATTTTTAAAGTTAAGGAAGGAATCAAAGGAGTGGCGTAGAAGAGATACAAGGCAAGATTGGTTGCTAGGGGGTTCACTCAGAAAGAAGGTGTCGACTTCAATGATGTGTTCTCTCCTATTGTGAAGCACGTATCCATTCAAATGTTGCTTGCCACAGTGGCACAGTTTGACCTTGAAATGGAACAGATGGATGTGAAGACTGTGTTCTTGTATGGTGATTTAGATGAAACAATCCTAATGAGGCAACCTGAAGGGTATGTCAAAAAAGGGAAGGAAGATTATGTGTGCAAGCTGAATAGATCTTTATATAGACTAAAATAATCTCCTCAACAATGGAATAGGATATTCGAAAAGTTCATGGCACACATAAGTTTCATCTGAAGTCAGTTTGAACACTGTGTTTACTTCAGATTTCGACCGGGTAATTCATTTGTTATTTTTTTGCTCTATGTGGATGATATTTTAATATCAAGCAACAATGTCGAAGATTTAATGAGGGTGAAGGCTGAACTCAATAAGGAGTTCGACATGAAGGATCTGGGAGTTGCGTCCAAGATTCTTGGGATTGATATCCAAAGAGATAGAAAAGCAGTCGAAATTATGCTTATCTCAAGAGGCATACCTACGGAAGGTTCTTAAAAAGTTTGGTATGTCGAATTCAAAGCCTGTTGTAACTCTGACAGACCCTTAATTCAAGCTGAGTATAGATCATATCCCATCACTGATATTGAAAGAACTTATATGAATAGAATTCCATATGCTAATATAGTGGGTTTTTTGATGTATGCTATGGTCTGTACTAGACCCGACATAGCATATGTAGTAACTCTTGTAAGCAGGTACATGGCAAATCCTGGAAAAGCTCATTGGCAAGCATTGAAGTGGATTCTAAGGTACATAAATGAGTCTCTGAATATAGTCATAATTTATGGTGGAGCCTTGAGTGAAGATAGTAAAGTAGCAATCGAAGGATATGTCAACTCTGATTATGCAGGTTGTATGGATTCCAAAAAATCTATTTCTGGATATGTGTTCACTATGTTTGGGACAATAATCAGTTGGAAAGAAACACTTCAGAAGATCCTTGCCTTATCAACCACTGAAGTGGAATATATTTCCCTAACTGGAGCTGTGAAGGAAGCATTGTGGCTTGAAGGTTTTGCAAAGGAGCTAAAACTTCAAGGTTGAGTTATCACTGCTAAATGTGATAGTTAAAGTACAATGCACCTGTCAAAGAATTCAGCCTATCATGAGCGAACCAAGCACATTGATGTGAGGTTGCATTTCGTCAGAGGGGTAATCGAGTGTGGAGAAGTCCAAGTGCTGAAAGTTTAGAAAGATCATAATGTTGCTGATATGATCACCAAGATGTTGCCTAGTTGCAAGTTTTTCCACTGTATGCAGTTGATAAAGCTGCATGAAGAAAGCTAGTTTCTTGATGTTATAGAGTTAGATCTAAGGTGGAGATTTGTGATATGTTGGATCGAACTATAGTATGGTCGAATGGTAGCTTCTGGTTCGACAGGAATTAAGCATGAGGTCAAAGTATGTTCGTATGCTGCTGTCGGAGTTATGCGTGTTGTAGTCGAAGTTTGTCCTAACATGCATTAGTCAACATTGCTAGGGTTGTTAGCATGTTGAAATGTGCCTTGTTTGTAAGCTCAATTATTTAAGTTAGCTTGTACCCTAAGTTAGCTTGTAATGGGTAATTGTTAAAAAGCCCATTAGGTTAGTGTGCTATTTTTCTTATAAATAGGATGCTAGTTTCTCAATCTTGGCATAATGAAAAATAGGAAGATAAAATCCTAATTTCAAGAGAGAGAGGTTATTTTGTTATTCTTGTATACTTGTAATCTTGTTATAAGAGTAATGAAAGAATAGCAGTTTATAACCAATCCTTGTTGTTCCTTGTTGTTTTACCTTGTTATTTTTGTTAACCCTAACCCTTGTGTGTTTCTTGATCATAAAGAAATTGTTTATATTTTGTTTCAAGACATCCAATTCACAACAACAAACTTTTAGAAGACATTTGGTTGGACGATGTAATTTATCTACCAACGATGTACCATAAATTTGTCTATTTAATTACCACACCATAGTTTTTCTCATTAAATCTATTGTTCATGTAGTTTGTCTGGAGGTCGTATGAGGGTCTCGAACATTAGCCCAACGCCAATGATGTTGCAGTATGGACAGCTAAAACACCGATCATTCGATTCACTACAGTGGAGATGCACCAAAGTGATCGGGTGAAACTGCAGTTCGGCATGCATTAGGATATTCTAGTCGCTCCGACCTCTTTGGAAGACTGGCATCAACTTAGGGTGGATACACAATGAGGTGTAAATCATTGGAAAGACTTTGTAAAAGAGATGTGTCTACATTGGAAGAATCGACATCAACACATCTTAACCGACCCTGTTGTGAAAAGGGCTATACCAAGTCATTAATATATAATTTGGTTTAGGTCGGTTATAACAACACAACAATTTGTGTCTGAGCCGACATATTTGATTGATTCGCGCCAACGTGCTTCTTCCTCACACATACAACACCAAACAAATTCCCAACATCAAACACCGTGTGTTATACCCAACAACCAAATATACCCACCCAATCAATTTTCCAGAATCGCAACCCATTCATGCCACCAACCCAATCACAACAACAAGAGCCTTACCCATACCGTCAGCCTCCCGACACCGACACCACATCTGCCTATATCCCTGATAACTCTTTCTACCCTACCTCATCCCACTATAGCCCCGATAACTCTTTCAACCCCACCCTAGCCCACTATAGCCCCCCACGAATGAACACACAATCGTCCTACCATCAAAATACCTACCCACTATCAAACGCCACAACAACCATTGCATCGTTTTCAAAACGATTCAATGTACTAATTCGGCCAACTATACCGTTCACACTCAACCCAATCACCCTGTCCCAACTAGGAAAACATGGACATGAAACTGAATTACGGAAGCGCCGTTGGCAGCAACCCCCGACTATTGAGGACAAATGCTTCAAAATTTGTTTGATATGCCGAGACCATCTCAACAAATACCTCTTTCACAGGTCAACATGCAAAGGGCACAAACACCTCAACAAAATCGTGGTAGACCTCGACGCCGCGCAAATGCACCGCCATGTGGAACTAGTGGATGTTTTGATATGGTCGGTCATTGATTTTTTTTCATCTATTGTACGCTTTTTTATATTACAATTATTGTAATTTAATTTTTCTATTGATTATTTTAATTTTTTTAAAATTTAATTTCCTAATTTTCTAATACAAAATAATAATTGATATAAAAAAAACATTGAATTAAGACGCCATATCATATGATTCTTCCTCTGAAAATGTGAATAACTTAGAGTAACCTTGAATGGATGCATCATATGATATGACGCGTTAATTGATTTTAGAATACTGTTGGCATATCATATGATGCATATTTGTTGAAAGTAACTAAGTCATTTTAATTTAATTTTTTTTAAATCTAAATTATTATGGTATTTTTAAAAAAAATATAAGTTATTTAAAAAAAATTCGAAAAGATCAATTTATTTTATACAGCAAAATAAATAAAAAATTGAAATGAATGAAGTAGTAAACGAAGTCATTTATTTTCTTCATATTCATCCATCCACTTCAGATAAGTTTGAGGCGTGTCAAATCTTAACATTAAATGTAAGTTTCTTTTGCCACAAGATCTGCAAAGTTTAATGAGTCTAACCCTTTTGCTAAACTGGTGTGAAAAAAAAAAACTTAGTTTTTAAATTTATAAATTTTTATTATATATTTGTCAAGAAAATAAATAAATACTATAAATATAAATATTTAGTAATTCTATCTTAAATGCTAAATTTGTATAAATAATAATAATTGATTTGTATCTTTTTGGTAGAAATAATCTTTAAGTTTTAAGGTGTGCCAATTAATTTCAAAATCCATCTCATCTTAATTTATTTTTTTCAATTTTTGTCTTGTTTTTTATTTATTAATTATTTTTACACAGAGATTTGATTGATTAAAGTTGCCATCAAATTAACAATTTCCAAATATAGAAGGAAAAAAGGTTAGTACGTTATTCTTTCATCTTTCTTTTTCAACTTCTTCTTCATCATCATTTCAATTTCATAGTCAACTCAAAACCTTAATTCTATTTTCCTTTTCTTTCTTCCCCTTTCCCCTTTCCCTTCATCACCAAATTTTCTTTTTTCTTCTCAAACAATCACAATTTTGTGAAAACTCAACAATATGTTTATTTAATCACTTTTTTTCAAACACTCCTCAAAAAGTTATACATAGAAAGTGTTTTTTTTTCATAAACAAACTTAGAATTTTCATTTTTTTTGGTGTGAAAACCACCCACTTTTATTTTCAATTCCAAAATCAGATCTTTCCATTTTGATTTCAATTTCTCTCTCTATTCATAAAATCAAAAACTTCATCCGATTCTGATTTTTTATTATATATTTCAACAACCCCACAAATTTCTCTTCACAAAGCTTCAATCTTTCCACAGCGCCGCTACAAAAAATCTCATCTGTTTCACTTTTCACCATCTGTGTTTTTTAATTTTCGAATTTCTCAAAAAACAAAGAGAGGGGGGTTACAAAGAAGGAAATGTGGGATGTTTTCTTGGTTAGCAAGGTTAGTTTCCGCGTGCTTGAGACCAGTGAGACGGTATGCACGTATGAACAAAGATGTTGATAATGATTCTGATGGGGCTTCAACAACTGGTGATGCCCTTGTTTGGTGTAAGGATCTTGAGAAACACTCGTGTGGTGAATTCTCGTTTGCTGTTGTTCAGGCTAATGAGGTTATTGAAGATCATAGCCAAGTTGAAACTGGTTCTGATGCTGTTTTTGTTGGTGTTTATGATGGACACGGTGGTGCTGATGCTTCTCGGTTTGTCAATGATCATCTCTTTCATCATCTCATCAGTGAGTTTTATTGTTCTTGTTGCTTAAGGCTGATATGATGTTTTTGTGGTTTTTTTGGGTGTTAAATCTTTAATCTTTCTGATTAATTAGTGTAATAATCGAATAAGACACTGAACCGGGTGAGGTTTACGTGTCACGGTATCAGAAGCCGCGGATACCTGTTTTTCACCGTTTTTGTTTTTATTTTTATTTTTATGATGAAAAAGAATTTGTGGTATATGATATCAATTAGTATTGTATATGTACCGACCGAATCGCGAAAACCTCACGAAAACCTCTTTACGCGACCGCGGCAGTTATTGAAATTGAACTGCTCAAATAACTGAATCATGATTTATTTGGTGGGTGGTGGGATCTTGTATTTGATTTGGTTTTTAAAACATTGCTTTCAGTATTATTAAGTCTGTCACTAAATTTTTTCTTTGAAAAGTTAGGGTTTATTATTTATTGAATATCATGGTATGAAAACACTTATGGTGTTGATTTTATGGAACTCTAATCAATGTGTGATGCTTGATATTTTGATTGTTTGTTGTTATTTGGAGGGCCCTTTCTTGTTTAGGATGGTTGGTGATTAGTTGGTTTGTTTATCTTTCTTACAAGATATAGCAATTTCAATTATCATGTTGTTGATTCCCAATTTAGCTTCAGTTTTTACTTTTTTTGAGTTTTGTGCTGAATTTCATTGCAGGGATTGCTCAAGAAAACTGTTCTATCTCCGAAAATATTATAAGGAATGCTGTTTCTGCTACGGAGGACGGATTTCTAACCCTTGTTCGGAGGAGTTTTGGAATAAAGCCACTGATAGCATCAATGGGTTCATGTTGTCTTGTTGGTCTTATCTGGAAAGGGACATTATATATAGCTAATCTTGGAGATTCTCGTGCTGTGATCGGTTCAATGGGTGGAGATTCTAAGAAGATTGTTGCTGAACAGTTGACCAAAGAGCATAATGCCTCCAAAGAAGAAATCAGAAGAGAACTCAGAGATTTGCATCCTGGAGATTCGCAGATTGTTATTATGAAGCATGGAACATGGCGTGTTAAAGGCATCATCCAGGTTTTTATATCTCTTAGATAAATAAATTTCTGTTTATGAACATTATGTTGCATTAATTTAACTATAAATGATTAAATGTGTGCTGCGTCGGTCGGTTTGATGTTACTCGTTATAACACACATATATATTTTTCTTGTTCATACCTCGATTGAGATCAGGTATCAAGATCTATAGGTGATGCATATTTGAAGCGGCCGGAGTTCTCCTTGGATCCTTCATTCCCACGGTTCCACTTGCCTGATCCTATCCGCCAACCGGTTCTTTCAGCAGAGCCATCTATTTCTTCACGAGTTTTACAACCGAACGATAAATTTGTTATATTTGCATCTGATGGCCTTTGGGAACACATGACAAATCAGGAAGCTGCTGAGATTGTTCATAAAAACCCTAGAAATGTATATTCGATAAGACGATCTTACATTTAGCTCTCATTTTGCGTTGCTCTTTAGCTTTTCTTGATTGAAACTGTTTGTTTTCTGAATACCAGGGGAGTGCAAGAAGACTTCTTCAGGCTGCATTGACTGAGGCGGCGAGGAAAAGGGAAATGAGATATAAAGATATGCAGAAAGTTGAAAAAGGGATTCGGCGCTTTTTCCACGACGACATCACAGTGATTGTGATCTTCATCGACCATGAGTTGCAAAAGAAGAATGCTGATGTTCCAGACTTGTCCATCAAAGGGTTTATCGACACAGTTGGAACATCGAAATTTAGAAGTTTCCAAGAAATGCAATGAATCAGTCTCAAGGTTCATTTCTAGAAGGAAGCTTAGGAAATTCAATACCTTTTTTTAGACATTTTTGCAGCATTTAATTGTTGTTTCTTTTCTACAATTTTCTTATCTTTGAGGTTTTTCTTTGCTTTACTCTATATGACTTTACCTTGTTTATTGGAAATACTTTTGCTAGTGATAAATGAGGGAAACCTTGATTTTCTCTATTAACTATACCTTGTTTTCTTGATGAATGTTGACAAATTTTAAGCACAAATTATGGTTTTATGTTGCAGTCCACAATCGTAATTGCATTGCGGCTGATGCGGTGTTCTTTGCAAATCAAAAAATTCTGTCCATGTTTCAGAAATCTAACACTCAATTTACTTATGATAAAATGAAAAATCTTATCCGTACGGAATTTTCAACTGTGTATTTCAAACACATTTCAATCAAAATTCACGTGGCAATGCAGTCACAGCAGCAACTGACATGACCCCAAATGCATGTGAATCAACAACAGATAAACACTCTAATCAGTCATCAAGTACATTGATTCTCATTATATTACTGTTATTGAAGATTGTGCTGTGATCAAACAATGAGACTTTCATTGAAGATAACAATAAATAATAAGTCCAATACATACAACTATTATACTCATCAAAATCCAAACCAAATCAGTAACAATACATAGCACTTCTATACCAAAACAGCAATAAAAAAAATTACATATCTTACCTTGCTCTCATGTTCTTATCCCAATATATCAATAGTTGATAACAAACATTATAAAAATGGTAATAAAAAAAATTATAAATCCTCAACCATTTATAGTATTTCTTAGTAAAAAATATCTGCATCCTTAGAAGCATTTCCTGTGAACAATTGAAGGGCCCGATTCATCATACTCCGCCTTCGCAATCCACATCTGCAACCAGAAAAACAAACATATTAATCGTTATAAGTGCTTGTGTATAAGTTATTTTTGTAACAAGATTCTCGTATGTAGTTTGAAGTTATGTACTATACTATACCTGTTGGAATGTGCTGAGAGATGCTAAAATGGAGCCTCCAATCCAGACACTGTACTTCCTCTCCGGCGGTGCAACCACCTTAATTTTCATGCTACTTGGTGCCAAAGCCGAAATCTCCTTGTTCATCCTATCAGCAATCCCGGGGAACATAGTCGAACCACCACTCAGCACAATGTTTCCGTAGAGATCCTTCCTAATATCAACATCACACTTCATGATTGAATTGTATGTTGTTTCATGTATACCAGGAGCTTCCATACCAATCATCGACGGCTGGAAGAGTACTTCAGGGCAACGGAACCGTTCTGCGCCTATCGTGATCACCTGTCCGTCAGGTAACTCGTAGCTCTTCTCAACAGCTGAGCTTGTCTTTGAGGTTTCTAGCTCTTGTTGATAATCAAGAGCAATGTAGGCTAGCTTTTCCTTAACGTCTCTCACGATTTCCCGCTCGGCTGTAGTGGTGAAAGAGTACCCACGCTCGGTTAAGATTTTCATCAGCGCGTCTGTGAGATCACGGCCTGCAAGATCCAAACGCAGGATTGCGTGCGGCAGGGCGTAGCCTTCGTAGATAGGAACCGTGTGGCTGACACCATCTCCGGAATCAAGAACAATACCTATAACAAGGATCCTAAATCCGTCACTACTTGCATATATCTTTAGAATTATTAAAAGTAAAACAAACATTTAAAAAAACATTACCGGTTGTTCGGCCACTCGCGTAAAGCGAAAGCACGGCCTGGATGGCAACATACATAGCCGGAGTATTAAACGTCTCGAACATAATCTGAGTCATTTTCTCACGGTTAGCCTTCGGATTAAGCGGTGCTTCCGTGAGAAGAACAGGATGTTCTTCCGGAGCTACACGGAGCTCATTGTAGAAAGTATGATGCCAGATCTTTTCCATATCATCCCAGTTACTAACTATACCATGCTCAATCGGATACTTTAGAGTCAAAATACCCCTTTTCGATTGTGCTTCATCACCAACATATGCATCCTTTTGTCCCATACCAACCATCACACCAGTGTGGCGCGGGCGGCCGACAATGCTAGGGAAAACCGCCCTCGGCGCATCATCTCCCGCAAATCCAGCCTACAATTATATAAAACACATCAAATCATCTAGTACTAGATTAGTAGATTACAACATATTGCGGTTGCAGTCATGTCACCATTCTCACGACTCGCTGTCAAATGCAGTTGATGCAGCCAAAATCGCGGTCGCGTCATGATCACGAAAACCATGATGTTGCAATCAAAAACAAGGTTGGATGGATTCATACCTTGACCATTCCAGTTCCATTATCACAAACAAGAGGTTGAATATCTTCAGCTTCTGCCATTTCTTAATAACTACTGCATAAAAAAAACATCAAACTTATATTATTATTATTCAAAAAAACATGAAATTGAAACCAAAGTCAATGTCTCTAGCAATAGCGTTTTACAATATGATCCATTCTAAGTTTAACCAAAAAAAAACACATACGATTTTTTTATGGGAAAAATGAAAAGCTATGATGATGGAAAATGTGAAAGGAAGAAGAAGAAAGTGAAGAATATGATTGTGTTATTTTTAGTACCTTAGAATCTCCGAAATGAATGAAGCAACGTGTGTGAGTGATGATTAGTTATGTGTTATGTTTTCTATTTTTAACGAACATGTCTTGTTGTGTGGTTGAGGTACCCGCGTTCTTGGTTTTAAAAAAGGAAAGTTAGTGGCAAATGAAATTCGACTCAAATGAACCGCAAATTTGGTTCAGATAGATCTCGATCGTTTGTTTTTTGTGAGAAGATCGTGACCGTTTGTGTTATGGATTAGTATCTTTATTATACTTGCGGGTCATGTTATTTGTTGGAAATAGCTGGCATTTTCAATAGTACCTAACATGGTCCCCCTTTTTTCTATTCCAGCATCTAAAGGTGATTAAGGGAAAAACTCTATAAATCACATTAAATTTTCAAACTGAAGAGAGTTTCCTTCAATACTATAAGTAAGCTTTTCTTGAAGATGGATATGTCACATCGGTCTCAGTTTAAAAGATCTTACACTTCTTTTAGTTACTTTAATAATGGAGGTGATATTTGCAAACATTTTGATGTTTAAGTTGAATTGACGGAGATGAGAAGTATAAATTTTTATAAAAAAATTGTATACTTCACTTTGACGTTTAATTTTCATGTATTTAAGGAAGCGAACAATAGAGTACCGAATTTCACTAGCAAAAATTATGGTTATTGGAAAATTTGTATGCGTATTTATATTAATCCGTTGACAAGGGTATATGAGACACCATAAAAAATATTCCTAATGAAATTATCGTGACCAATGTTGAGGGTGTTACCGTACCTAAATCGGAAGCACAATGGAATGAAAATGCACTAGTGGAAAAAAGGCTTCTTAAGTCGGTTAAAAATGACTTTTTAAGTCGGGTCCGAGCCCGACCTAAGAATTACCGACATAAGAAGTTTTGACTTCTTAAGTCGGTTGTGGACCTGACTTAAGAAACAACTTCTTAAGTCGGTTAGGCAGAACCCGATTTAATAAGTCTAGCCTGCAGAAACCATTTATACCCGACCTAAGAACTTACTTCTTAAGTCGGGTATAATTAACCGACCTAAGAAGTTTTTTTTTTTTTTTTGATAATCACACAAATCAAATGCAGTTTTCCCATTTAACAATTTACCCCCAAATCAGAATATCCAACTCAATCAACAAATTACACCCAAAATTATCAGAAAATTAACTCTTCTTTTCATTATCACAAAATTATGTAGAACCAAGTATATTAACACAAGTATAAATTACAACCAAGTATATTACCATCACCTAACCAAACACCAAAATTAATCACATAGACTTGAGAATAATATAGAGCTTGTTTGAAAAAAAACAACTTAAGTAGGAAGAATTTGTATAGAGTACTTCGAAATTGTTCTTCGACAGGTGTACTGATGGCCCATCCGTTATTACGACATATGAAAACAACTGGTGCCTCCATTACTGCTGCAAAGTTCATAGCAGCATAAAAATCTCCCTACAATATTTCAAATTACAAAAGATTAAACTGGTGCCTCCATTACTGCTACAAAGAACACTGACTGTTACTTATTTTCCAACTTTGGCCAGTTTCCTTATCAGAGTCTCAACAGCAACATTTCCTGTGACTGTTACTTTCTTCTGTTGCGGATCAATTGCTGTAGTAAACACTCCTGAACGCAAAACCAGAAAATATGAATAAAAAACACAAACAAATATATTAAACACAATACTAACATAATGTCTGACATCGGATGCTACATTGTACATGCTAGAACACACAACCATACAGTTGTTTATGTTTTGGGCTTATAACAGTAAAATTTGAGCTCTGAATATTTTCATGCATGAGAAGTCGAAGAAATGAAGTACCATCAATGTTCTGTAAAACTTTCTTTACTTTTCTTCTACAACCTTCACAATGGATAGAAACTTTCAAGAACCATGTCTGAGAAACATGTAAGAGAAACAAACTTTAGCTTATAAAACTAAACAAAACAAAAAAAGATTTAGACAGTAGAGTTGAGGGAAGATGGTTACCTGATACTTCAATGGTTGTGAAGTAGCATCCATTAGAGAGAACTGGTGTGAGAATACAACAAACACATATTTAGATATTTATATCTCAACATGGCAAAAAAGACTCATATAACACACCATTAGATTCTCTACCTTTATGACAGAAACTGCATTCTCTATATCTATCTCTCTTCTATAACACACCATCTCATGTTATTTTCCTCAATCTCTTTCTCACTTTTATCTCATTAAAAAAAACTAAAGTTATCAAAAGACATTGAATTCAAAGTCAGTGAATCCATTTTCACATATTACATATAAACCTATAAACCATTCCATTATATCTAGCTAGTTGCTCATGTCCTTCTGACCATGTTCCTTATAAGGGTCCCTCAAGCCCTAACCTTGAGCCAAGCCAATTGGTAACATCAGCCATCTCTCTAGGAACTGTATAATGACCAACCCTGCAAAAAAGTGATGCAGTTTAGTTTCTAAAGTATCACTCTATCTCTAATTTTATCTCAAGTATATAGAAATAATAAGTAGTTCCAAAATTATATGAAATCTATCACTTTAATGTAAAAAAATGGAAATTACCCATCATAGGATTTGAAGGTTATATATTGAAACCCTGCCGAACTCAAGGATTTGAAGGTTATATATTGATCCCGGAAGCCAGCCACTTAGTCCAACAACTGCTCTTAAGTTGATAGGGTAAGGAGTTCCATTTCCATACTTTCCCATGGAAAAACATGTTGCAGAGTATAGAGCCGTTGCAGCACCCATACCGATCCCTCCAATCCCAATTTTCACTACCATAAACAAAAAAGTGATGTTTTAGTGAAATTCATCAATATCATAATCAACATATTGCTAATAATATTTAGTTTTAGAACGTACCATCAGGTGGCTCAGCAGACACCAAATTAGCAACATGTGCTGCTGAGGCATCCAAACCCTCCCAATCAACTGGACCATCTTCTGAAAGTTCTCCCGTATTAAACCCTAATCGTTGTGAAATATAACAAAACTTAAGGTCAGTGCAATATATATACTGATATGTGTGCATTCAACAGTTAAAAAGTGTTTATTTAGTTATAACTAAAATATAGAAAACAAGAGAGGTTAAAAACATTACATGCAGTGCATGAAAAAGTTCCAAGTATAGCCACAGAACGAGTAGGAGCAGTTGGACAAATCCATTTTACCTGCATCATATAACATCAGAAAATATATCATACATACATTGACACAGATACAGACACAGATACGATATGACACTAGCAGATGGATACTGATAACAACTTATAAAAAATAAATTGATTGAATGTAATTTCACATGTCAATGTCGGATAGGTGAGAGAGGATAAAACTTACATTTGGAAGTGGAAGTGATTCCAGGAGCTGATATGAGCTGCATCAAAACCAAGCTTATAGTAAGCATAAATTATAAATTAAAACACATATTTCCTAGATAAAAACGATTAAACTCAATGGTAAATTTTGTGCTCATGTTCAAAGAAAAATTCTTAAAATTGATTGTTAAGTCATGATGTCATATAAATATACTTCTGTCAATTTATAACAAGTCATGTCAAGTTACTCAATTTAGTAGTAAATCAAGTTATATCATATATGGTCCCTTACTCCAGAATCTTAGTATATACTCTTCAAAATCAAATTTCCATCTTTCAAAATATTAACTACTTTTTACAACAGAATTTATTCTATTTGGAATCTCAATACAAGGAAGCTTCATAATAATAAAAACATAAAAAATATTGTAATAGTTTTGAAAATCACGATAGCTGAGACAATATAGAAAAGATGGTATGCATATATACCTCAAACCATTGTCACCAAGACCATGCAGCCAAACTATAGTAGCTTGATGTTTTCCTTTAGGCCTCACTACATGCGTCTTACCAAACTCCATAGTTTTTCTATCAGTTGTACTACCTTCAAAAAGCATATAAAGTATAAAGATAGTTAATATTTCAAAACATAGTAAATAAATGTAATGATAATCAAGGTTTTAACTATGATTATGGCCGCGGTGTATCTCCGACTTGAAATAATGACTTTCCAAACCCATTCAAATTTGATATGAAAGAAGAAGTTCTTGCTAGGTAGGAATATCAAGAAAAAAAACTAACCAGACCCCATATGATAACATGCATAGTTCATTTTGCTGTTAAAAACTTTTCAAAAGCAATCTTCCAACCAACCTAGGTGGAGATGGAATAAAATACAATAAGCAGAGAAATCGTAAACTAAACCGAACCATAGTATAAAACCCTAGACCTTAAACTTTAAATCCTAAATCTGATATATTCTTTATTTTCGTTTTTTTAGATATCTTTTTGTTCAAGCATTGTTATGTACGTGTCCCATCGTAAACTAAGCCTCTCACAATTGGGATCTCATCCCCAGGAAATTTGAAGAAATTAAGTAGTTCTGCAAAATAGTTGTTGGTAAAAGGATACACATACATTAGCAAAAAGTCTTAGATTTTTTTTTCTTGTCATTCAATTATGAGATAACAAATTTATACCGCGAATTTCCATTTCGACAAGTTCAAGTAACTCCGGATCATCCACGGTATCTACTTTATTTAGAAAGCAGACCAGTGATGGTACACCAACCTGCAAAGAAACATCTATGATCTTAGAATGGCTTTGGTTGGTTTAACAGGAAAAAAAATGAACATGTTAATAAAATGATGTACGAACCTGACGAGCGAGGACTATATGCTCCTTTGTTTGAGGCATTGGACCATCTGGA